TGCAAGCGCAAGGACCTGAGTTCAATCCCCGGTACAAAAAAAAAAGAGAGAGAATAGAAACAAATCACCTATAAAGGGAAGCCCAACAGAGTCACAGCAGACTTCTCAACACAAACCCTTATGTTAAGGAGAGCTTGGAGTGAAGTATTTCAAGCCCCAAAGGAAAACAACCTCCAACCAGATTGATGTACCTTGCAAAACCATCTTGCAAAATTGACAAAGAAATAAGATACTTCTATGACAAAGAACACCTGAAGAAATTCATGACCACCAAGCCGGGCGTGGTGGCGCACATCTGTAATCCCAGCATTTGGGAGGCTGAGGCAGGAGGATCACTGCTTCAGACCAGCCTGGGCTACATAGTGAGTTCCAGAGCTGTCTCAACTACATAGTGAGACCCTGTCTCAAAAAAACAAAATAAACAAATAAAAAAGAAATTCATGACCACTAAACCAGCACTCCAAAGTGTTCTGAAGGACATTCTGGAAAGAGACAATAAGGATTGGAACTCCATGAACCTCAAAAGAATGAATCCACCAGGCAAGGCCAGAAATTAAACAAACAAAAAAAAAAGGAAGCCAACAGCAGAAAAAATAACATCACCGAGATAAGATAATACATATTAGTTATCACCATCAGTGTTAATGGTCTCCATTCACAGAAACAGACTGTCAGAATGGATCCAATAATATGCTGCATACAAGAAATACATTTAACTGAAAAACAGATTCACAGAGTGGAAGTCAAGGGATGGAAAACAATTTTCCATGTGACAGGAAACCAGAAAAAAGCAGGGGTAGTTATTCTATTTGTAGACAAAGTGGATTTCAACCCAAGACTGATTAAGAGAGACAAAGAAGGTCACTACATCCTAGTAAAGGGAACAATGTAAGAGGAAGAGATGACAATCATAAATACAGATGCATCAAATGGCAGCACACCCAACTATATACAACAAATAATAACCAGCATGAAAAATCACACGAGCCCTGACACAGCTGTGACAGAGGAGCACAGTACCCCACTGGTACATATAGACAGCTCGGACCAGTGATGTTGGACATCTTTTCATGTATCTATTTGCTGCTTTTACTTCTTTGTCTGAGAAAGGTCTGTTCATTTCAGATGCCCGTTTTTGAATCGGATCTTTATCTTTGGGGGGTCTGATTGTTTGGAGTTCTTCATCTATTCTGGATAGTAGACCTCTGTCTGAGGAACAGCTGTTAATGTTTTTTTTTTTTTCCACTTTGTAGGTTGTCTCTTAGCTCTGCTGGTGGTTTCTCTTGCAGTGCAGAAGCTTTTTAATAAGGTGAGATCCCAGTTGTTGATTCTTTCTGCTAGTTCCTGCGCTACTGAGGATTTCTTCATAAAGTCTTTTCCTATGCCAGTGCTTTTGAGAGTTCTGCTTAACCTATCTTCCTATCTTCCAGCAAGTTTAGTGTTTCTGTTTTTAATATTTAGATCTTTAATCCACTTGGATTTTAGTTTAATACATGGTGAAAGACAGGGATCTAATTTTAATCATCGGCAGGTTGAAATCCAGCTTTTCTAACACAATTTATTGAAGAGGCTTTCTTTCTTTCTTTCTTTTGTTTTTTGTTTTTTGAGACAGGGTCTCACTATGTAGTTCAGACTGACCTGGAACTCACTATATAGCCTGGGCTGGTCTCGAACTCACAGTGATCCTCCTGCCTCAGCCTCCCAAGTGCTGGGATGACAGGCGTGCACCACCACGCCCGGCTTTGAAGAGGCTTTCTTTCCTCCAGTAAGGATGGTTGGCTCCTTTGTTAAAACAAAGCTGAGGTAGCTGAGTACATCTGGAGTTGTTTCTGCATCTTCCAATCTATTCCACTGACCCTTGGGTCTGGAAACAAAAGCTTTTGTACATAGGGAGTGGAGGAGGCTTGAAGGGGGAACTGGATAAAATTTATCAATTAAAAAAAAAAAAGACCAGCATGGACTATATAGTAAGACCCTGTCTCAAAACTAAACAAACAAAAACCACTAGGAATGTGTAGCTCAGTGATAGAATGCTTGGCTAAAATATGCAAGGCCCTGGGTTTGATACCCAGTATTGCAAAAGAAAAAAAGAGAAAAAAGTGCATTTAGTTAAAAAAAAATTAAAGAAGAAAACGTAATAGGTATACGGGCACACACCTATAATCCCAGCGCTCAGGAGGCTGAGGCAGGAGGAACACCACGAGCTCTAGGCCAGTCCGAGCTATATAGTGAGTTCAAGGCCAACCTGGACTACAGAGTGGGATCCTGTCTCTTCTCAAAAGCAAGACAAAATAGGGAGTCGGCAGGCCTGGGCTCCAGGCTGGCTCCTCAGTGGGGTCTCCACTCTGGGTTTCTGTTCCCTTGTCTGCCGAGTGAGGTGGGTGTCACTCATTTGACTTGTTTGTGTCGGCCATGCAGTGGCCAGAGCAGATTCAGTGTTGGCTTTCTCCTGTCCCTCTCAGGGCTCCCAGGATGGCCTTATGGGGGGAGGATGGGGCAGGGTGAGCACCCAGGTTTTGAACCGGGCATGGCTGCACGGTTGATGGCCTCCCCCACACCCTGAAGCATTCCTACTTCTCACACAGGTCAATGTCAAGTTAGGGATGTGTCCCCAGGATGCTGAGTGGAAGCCTGAGTCTGGAGCCAGGTGTGGTGGCACATGTCTGTTATCCCAGGATTTGAGAGGCTGAGGCAGGAGGATTTCGATAAGTTCAAGGCCAGCCTGGGCTGTATAGTGACTTCAAGGCCAGCCTGAACTACGCAGCCAGACACTGTCTCAGAAAAAAGAAAACAAGCCAGGTGTGGTGGTGCACACCTGTAATCCCGGCACTCGGGAGGCTGAGGCAGGAAGATCGCTAGGAGTTCAAGACCAGCCTGGGCTACATAGTGAGTTTCAGGTCAGTCTCAACTACACAGTGAGACCCTGTCTCAAAAAACCAAAAAAGAAAAAAAGAAAAAGAAAAGAAAGCCTGGTGGGAACAGTGTGCTGAGGAAAGAGTTGAGGAAGGGTGCAGTTGGCTCTAAGGAACAGGCCTGGCTGACAAGACTCAGCTCAGCTGGATTCTGGAGTCTGGGTGGCTTTGGCCTCTTCCCTGCAGAGCCCTGCTATTTCCTGCCCGCCTCACTCTCCGAGGGTGATTTAGACTTAGGTTCTGCCCAGAAAGTATTCACATTGGCTGGGCCGCTGGCTTAATGTCAGAGGCAAACCAGATGTGGACTGCCTGTGACTCGTGACCAAATTCTGGGAAGTCAAAAGATGGCCCCCACTGAATCCTGGCCTCCCCCTGCACTGATCCTGTGCCTTGGGCTGCGTCTCTCACTCTCTCTGAACCTGTTTCCTCCTTTGTGAATCAGGAGATGTGGCACCTATTTTGCAGGACAGCACAAAGCTGAAGCAAGTGCTAATTCTAGCACTAGGGAGGCTGAGGCAGGAGCATTTCAAGTTTGAGCCCAGCCTGGGCTAAATGAAGACGCTGCTTCAAAATATAAAACACATAGCTGCTTCTTGTCTCACCTCCTGCTCTCCCACAAAGCGACCCGTGTTGCTTCCCATCCCTCTCCTCGCTCACAGTGACTTTCCACATTTCAGCCTTCCAGACAGCAGCAGAATAGCCACCCAGACTTTGCAGGCCTCTTACCAGGCCCGAGTGCGATTTTCCTCTCTGGTTCCTGGAAGGGCTGGTGGTTCCCAGCCCGATCTCCTGTGCGCCTGCCGCCTCCTCTCTGCACCCACTTCAGACCGCCTATAACCTCACAGAGCCGAAAACCAGGCTGAACTCACCTGGGCTGGAGAACACAGTCCTGTCGCTTTCAGGTCCCGGAGAGCGAGTGCACCCCACGTCCTCACGCTGTCCTCCACCCTGGGCTTTGCCCCAACAGCTGTTCCCCAGATGTTCATTGACTCATTCCGCAGCCCTCGGGTCCCGTCCTGTCACCCTCTTTTGAGTCTCGTTCCCAGGGTCAGCCACACCCCACTGCCTGCCCACCTGCCAAATGACCAGCACAGGGTCAGGCCAGAGCCCAGCTCAGGGTGGCCTCCTGGACCCAGCTGCTTCAAGCTCCGGGATGGGTGGGGGACTGAAAGCCTTACTTCCCATCCTGTCTCCTGATCCTGAAGAAAGGTGGCGATGCTGCTTCTGGGGATGCTGTGGGCGAGTGTCCCTTGTCACATCCCGGGGCCCAGGAAATTGTGCTAATGCCTGGGGCAGTGGCTTGGCTTTGACAAGGACACTGCTGTCCCACAGCACTGTCCTGGCTCTTGGGGCCACAAAGCCCATCCACTCCTGTCACGCACAGGACAGCACAGATATGGCCCCGGCCACCTTCCCAGGACAAGTGGCCTCACAGCCCTCGGGTGGTATAAGAAGCCTCCAGATCACCAAAGCCTGGACTCAGCTGGTGACAGGGCTGTCCACAGAGCTGTGCTAACTCTCAGAAGCCATTCGGTCTGCGTCCAAATGAGGTCAGCAGTCTTTTCCCCCCAGCCCTTTCCATTTCCTTTTTGGTGCCAGGGATCAAACTTGGGACTTTATGCTTATGAAGCAGGAAATGGAACCACTGAGCTAGATTCCTGGCCCTCCATTTACTTTTTCTGTGGTACTGACCCCAGGGCCTCTTCACTTTTCTATACTTTTGACACAGGGTCTGGCTAAGTTGCCCAGGCTGGGCTAGAACTTGGGGTCCTCCTGACTCAGCTTTCAAGTGCTAGGATTACAGGCCTGTGCCATGATGGCTGACTCCTGAGGGGCTCGATGGGCGGCAAGTACCCAGGCAGGACAGCAGCACTGCCAACTGCATGTGGGATCCCTGGGTGGAGTTGCTTTGGCTCCGGGTACCCCGGGGAGGTGGCAGGACCTCTGCCCTGGGGAGTGGGTCAGCCATCATTTGGTGGCTCATAAGAAGGGCCATGGAGACCTGCTTGTCACAGTGGACTCCTGTCCCCCCCAGGCGACAAGACACAGACAAAAGTGCTGGGGAAAGTCTTTATAGGAGTGCCAGGGTCAGGGGCCCGTCTCTAGTGCTACCACCTCCCCCCAGGGACCAAAGCCCAAGTCCTTATGGATCAGCACCGGGCCTGGGCTGGGTTCTGGCTCCCTGGAAACTGCCGGGGGCGCGGCCGCCAGCCCGAGCTCAGGCTGCAGGAGCTCTGCTGTGGGTGTGGAGGGCGCCCAGGGCCAGTGACTGAGCTGGTGGCGCCTGAGGCTCTGTGGGAGGCTGTAGGCCATGCCGCAGGTGGGACAGCGGTGGGGCTTGTCCGGCAGGTGCGACTTGAGGTGGCGCCGGAGCTTG